CACACACACACACACACACACACACACACACACACACGCTAGAAAGTTTACTTAAATTGTTTTTATATTGTCCTTTTATTTTTTTATCCCTCAGATCTGGCCTTCTTTAAAACGACCTTTCTCTTCAATTATTCTTTCTTAGACAAACTTTTAATGATCGAGAATGAGCTATCTTCGTATAAGATGAGCGGAGAACATTATAGTCATTAAGAGAACCCGCAAACAAATTTAAAGCTGGAAAAAATCATAACGCTCCCAATCACTACCACTTGACATTACACATCAGCGATTCAAGGGCAGAGCGGAGCGCTGGAAAAGAGACAAAGACAAATTATCTTTGTTGAGATATCCCAGGAAGAAAAGTATTGTTCAGCTAGCTGGAGAATTATAGTTTCTTGTGTGTTTGGTTGCTTTACCTGTATTCTTTCTCCCCACCCCCACCCCCACCTTTATTTAAAATGTTTTTTGTTTGTTTTTATTTTTATGGTGTGAGGGGGGACGTGTTTAAGGCTCACCTCCCTTTGGCTCGGCTATATCGGAGATGAACATTGGATTTGAGGGAACTGTCTCTTAAATAATCTTTCTTTGTTAGAAGGGGCGTTTAAATATGTACACCTACAATGACAACGGCGACGGTGGTCACACCCTGTTGTAAATATCTTCAACGTATTTATGAGACTGCACTTGCGTTACACAAAGAACGGCTGGTGTAGTGGTTAGGTGCCGCGCCGTCGCGCACAGAAGATCTGAGTTCGATTGCCTTCACCACCTTCACCTTAAGCTATCCCGTAGACTGGATGTCCCTCGGGGCACTTTTGAAGATTTGGCCACCTGCTGCTTCCTTCTCTCCTTCCGGTTTTCAGCTTTCCTGAGCGTGTCTTTGAGTTCCAGGCCTATCCATTCCTTGATGTTGTCCTCCCAACTCTTCTTCGGTCTGCCTCTGCTCCTTTTTTTCCTGGACGCTGCCTTGCTCGATTGCTGGATAAGAGCAATTCTTGGGGAATATCTCCCGTCTTTCTGCTGAAATGCTGTATTTTTCTCAGCCTATGTTGGCCCTGTCAGGCAGGGTCAAAGTCGCCTCCTAAATTGTGTCGATGCAGGTGTAAAAAAACAAATGCATTAAAAAAAATCAAAACCACTATATATACAAGACTGCAATTACAACTTGCCTGGCCCTCCGGCTAAGAAAAACTACAAAGTAGAGCTACCATGACAAACTCTTGAAGAAAATAATACATGGGAAGAGTAACTGAGTGTTGGTAGCAATAATGAGGAGAACATGTAAGCAATTGCCACAACTCAAGACCGGTGTCCCAGACAATTCGAGCATGGGT